TCTATACCTTTCTCTCTCGCACAGATGTTGGCTTCACGTTTGGTATATGTGCAGCATATGCAATTCCGCTTCCAGTAGTATATGTTCTAAGCTTTTATAAAACTTCCAAAAATTCGGGTTATTTCGTCTTTACATTAAACCACTCATTGGACATCGCTCGTCGATCATCGCTCATCGCGTCCAGTGTGCAGTAGGCATTACTTTACACGCTCCGACGCAATTGTAATACTTTCGATTCGATTGTCGCACTTTTCGTCGTGAATATACGACTTTTCCAATAAGATATGGTTCTCGCAGTTTTTGTTAAAGAATAAAGCCAGTGATCGGTATTTATACACGACTGTTTATTCGAATTTCTTAAACCACGTCTTCGGTTCCCATTCTGCGCAACTTCACTCCTTAGTGGAAAAATACAGTTATTAAAGAAGACGTTCTTTATTTAAATATAAAGATACTTTTAAAATATACTTTATATCTACAAAGCAATTTTAAGTGTGAACGCATTGTACCCCTGACCAACTACCTCCTCCGAATTATTTGCACGTGGCCTTCGCGAAGCAAGGCGAAAGAAGTGGATCACCCGGGCAGCATCGCCCGCCGAACCTGTTGTGGAATCGACGACGCAATCTAGCAGTAAGATATAACTCCATTTTCTAGCCCACGTGGCGCGCCGCGTGGGCTTAACGACACGCAGTCGGAAGCAGCCATATTTGATGCCATAGCGTCATCTCATTCCGCTACTGCGTGACACATCAGCGTTCCGTGAGTAACCAATGTGCGAGTGATAGCATATAGTGCGTGCATTCGTTTATGCAGCGGTTAGCGCAGTGAGTATCATTTAATCTTTATTCAACACTCGGTGAACAACAAGGATAAAGTAATACTTCTACGCTAACCGCTGCATAAACGAATGCACGCAATATGTAGTACGGCCGAGGGGAGGATCCCATTTGCCTACATTTCTGATTGTACACACCACTCATATCAACTGGTACCTAGTAATTTTTTACTGTTTTGCCAATGAGATTATTTTATTTTTAAATTGGCTAATCAGCGATACATGTGTGCAGCATACGATGTGTGCAATCGGAGCTCTCCCGTGGCCGAGCAGACCGCGAAATAGGTTCAAGTATAATCGAGGGATGACTCGCTGTTAAGGGGATGCTGGAGTGACGGTCGAAGTTAATCAAAGTCGATAGTACAGACTTTTTTAAATTCCAAATTCGACAATAGTGACATCTTTCATTCATTTCTTATACTTATTATATATCGTTGTGTCTCACTCAAATGCATTCATCTGTCCTTATCTAACATATTGCAACGCCATCTCTTAGAAAGAGATCAACTAAAATACTGCTCGGTTTCATGGCTAAACAGTCATACATTGTCGATTTCTCACGCGCTAGACACACAATTTCGTTCCTTGCGCTAATCTTTTTATTTAGGCGTCAAAACTTAATTCTAAAGATAC